CAGGAGGTTGAGGCAGGAGAATTGCCTGAACCCAGGAGGCGGAGGTTGTGGTGAGCTGAGATCACGCCATTGCACTCCAGCCTAGGTAACAAGAGCGAAACTCCATCTTCAAAAAAAAAAAAGAATGCTACTTTTAAAAATAGGAACAAGCCAGGAACTCAGTCAATCTTGTTCCTTTTCAAACTTTCCTTCTCTGGAAATAGTTCCTCTTTCATCCAGAGGCCCACAAGAGGGTGCTATCTGCCTTTTAGATGGAACTTCCTGAATCAGCCCTGAGGATATTCATCACAGAGCTACACATTCTGAGTAGCTGGGATTACAGGCACACAGCACCTCACCTGGCTACTTTTTGTATTTTTAGCAAAGACAGGGCTTTGCCATGTTGGCCAGACTGGTCTCAAATTCCTGACCTCAAGTGATCCACCTGCCTCGGCCTCCCAAAGTGCCAGGATTACAGGTGTGAGCCACCGAGCCCAGCCTATTTATTCATTTAAGTCTTGCTCTGTCACCCAGGCTGGAGTACAGTGGTGCAATCTGGGCTCACTGCAACCTCTGCCTCCTGGTTTCAAGTGATTCTCCTGCCTTAGCCTCCCAAGTAGCTGGGATTACAGGTTTGTGCCACTGCACTCGCCTAATTTTTTTTATTTTTAGTAGAGACACGGTTTTGCCATGTTTGCCAGTCTGGTCTTTAACTCCTGACCTCGTGATCTGGCCACCTCGGCCTCCCATAGTGCTGGGATTACAGGTGTGAGCCACTGTGTCTGGCCTTATTTTATTTTAAAGAGTTGGTACATTGCTGTGTCACCCAGGCTAGAGTACAGTAGTGCAATCATAGCTCAATGCAGCCTCAAACTCCTGGGCTCAAGTGATCCTCCTGCCTCAGCCTCCCAAAGTGCTGGGATTATCGGCATGAGCCATTGTACCTGGACAGCCTGTGATTTTATTTATTTTTATTTTTGAGAGAGTCTTACTCTGTCACCCAGGTTGGAGTGCAGTGACACGATCTTTTGCTTTATTTCCCAGGCTGGGCTGGAACTCCTGGGCTCAAGGGATCCCCTGACTCAGTCTCCTGAAGTGCTGGGATTACAAGTGTGAGTCACCTTGCCTAGTAATGTAATATTTATTTGGTAATGAGGTAAGTACTGGAAACCTGAAATGCTGAAATTAGGCAGAATTGTCAAACTTGTTGAAGTTAGAATGATCATGATAACATTTAACACTGGAGCACCTTAGCTGTATAATTTAAAATTCACAGGCTGGTCCAGGTGTGGTGGCTCACGCCTGTAATACCAGCACTTTGGGAGGCCAAGGTGGGTCGATCACTTGAGGTTAGGAGTTCGAGACCAGCCTGAACAACATGGTGAAACCCTGTCTCTTAAAAATAAAAAATAAATAAAAATAATAATAACAAAAAACAAAAATTAGCCAGGAATGGTAGCCTGTAATCCCAGCTACTGGGAAGGTTGGGGCAGGAGAATCACTTGAACCCAGGAGGCAGAGGTTGCAGTGAGCCGAGATTGTACCACTGCACTCCAGCCTGGGCAACAAGTGTGAAACTCTGTCTCAAAAAAAAAGAAATTGACCTTGGGGAGCCCTAGATATGGAGATGTCACAAGAAATTAGCTCCTTTGTCTTCCAAGGCAGCTGAAACTGAAGGACAACTGTGTGGCTTGAGGATGGGGAGAAAGATGCCCTACATATCAAAATGCGATGGGTAAAGACTCCAAACCGGTTTCAATTACCAGCCCTAAGTCAAAGAGAAGTGTATTTCAGGAGAAGAGCCCTTTCTGTCTCCAGGTTTCAGATCTTCAGCTGAGAGCCAGGATGAAAGACACTAGTTAGTCTGTTCTTTATTTTCCTTGGAAAATTACAGGGTTACTTATCAACAAAATAACTGTCCAGGGAAGTGCCATTTGGTGGCTTCTATGTACAGGTCCATCCCTGGGAACCGTATTTCCAGAGGGGGCCTCCCCCTGAGGCCCACCTTGGCACCCTCCCAGGTATCCAGAACAAATCACAAGGTGACAGCTGCTGGAGTGGGTCGGACCCAGGCCTACTGCTGGGCAGAGGGTTTGGGGGCCTCTCTTCTGGAAGCCTGCTCTTCCCACACCCCCTTTCCCAGCCAGGCTGTCTTGGACACTCCTGGGGCTTTGCTGAGGGGCACATGGTTCCTGCTTTGGATTTCTTTTGAGATGTCATTTTAACACTGAGGCATCCCAGCCTCCCCTCCCGAAGGATGGATTATTTGCAGTGCCATCTTCTTTTAGTCCTGGTTTTTGTACAAAAACAACGATATTCCCCATTTTCGTCCAAGAAACAAAAGTGCCTCAACAGGTACAGTTCTGCTGGTCGATCTGCTTCCGACAGGGCTCCATGGTGACAGCCACGCCCACCCCGCTCCGGCCCGATGTCATTCGGGTCACCTCGCTCCAGGTGTCTGTGTCTGGGTCGTAACACTCCACACTGTCCAGGAACGTGTGACCGTCATAGCCTCCTACAGGGAGAACAGAAGGGACGGTCACCACCTGTCACGCCACACCCAAGAGCAGGGGACAGAAAGAGGGAGAAGCAGCTGCAAGATACAAAAGCAGGCCGGGCATGGTGGCTCACACCTATAATTCCAGCAATTTGCAGGGCTGAGGCGGGAGGATTGCTTGAGGCCAGGAGTTCAAGGCCAGCCAGGGTAACATAGTAAAACCCTAGTCTCTTACTAAAAAAAAAAGGCAAGGCATGGTAGCTCAGGCCTGTAATCCCAGCACTTTGGAAGGCTGAGGCGGGTGGATCACTTGAGTCCAGGAGTTTGAGACCAGTCTGGGCAACATGGTGAAGCCCTGTCTCTACAAAAAAAGACAAAAATTTAGCCAGGCATGGTGGTGCTCGCCTGTAGTCCCAGCTACTAGGGAGGCTGAGGTGGGGAGGAACAGTTGAGCCTGGGAGGCCAAGGTTGCAGTGAGCAGAGATTGCGCTACTGTACTGTAGCCTGGGCGACAGAGTAAGACCCTGTCTCAAAATAAATAAATAAAAATAGGCTGCTCATGGTGGCTCATGACTGCAATCCCAGCACTTTGGAGGCTGAGGCAGGCAGATCACCTGATTTCGAGACTATCCTGGACAACACAGTGAAATCCCATATGTACAAAATGTACAAAAATTAGCTGGGCTTGGTGTTGCGTGCCTATATTCCCAGCTACTTGGGAGGTGGAGGTAGGAGAATCGTTTAAACCAGGGAGGAGGAGATTGCAATGAGCCAGTGTTGCGCCACTGCACTCCAGTGTGGGCAACAGAGTGAGACTTTCTCTCAAAGTAGGTAATAGATAAAAATTTTAAAAAATAAAAGGCTGGGCACAGTGGCTCACACCTGTAATCCCAGCATTTTGTGAGGCTGAGGCGGGCGGATCACAAGGTCAGAAGATCGAGACCATCCTGGCCAACATGGAGAAACCCCATCTCTACTAAAAATACAAAATTAGCCAGGTGTGGTGACGTGCACCTGTAGTCCCAGCTACTCGGGAGGCTGAGACAGGAGAATTGCTTGAACCTGGGAGGTGGAGGTTGCAGTGAGCTGGATCGCACTATTGCACTCCAGCCTAGGTAACAAGAGTGAAACTCCTCAACAAAACAAAATAAAATAAAAATAAATAAGATTAGCCAGGTGTGGTGGGTGCATGCCTGTGGTCCCTGATACTTGGGAGGCTGAGACAGGGGGATGGCTGGAGCCCAGGAGGTTAAGGCTGCAGTGAGCTGTGATCACACCACTGCACTCCAGCCTGGGCAACAGAGTGAGACCCTGTTTCTTTTCTTTTCACTTTTTAGCTTTTTATTTATTTCCTTTTTTAAAGAGATGGGTTTCACCATGTTGGCCAGGATGGTCTCGATCTTTTGACCTTGTGATCCGCCGCCTTGGCTTTTCTTTTCTTTTTTAGATGGACTTTTGCTCTTGTCGCCCAGGCTGGAGTGCAAGGTACAATTTCAGCTCACTGCAACCTCTGCCTCCAGGGTTCAAGCAATTCTTGTGCCTCAGCCTCCTGAGTAGCTGAGATTACAAGTGTGTGCCACTATGCCTGGCTAATTTTTGTATTTTTAGTATAGACAGGGTTTTACCACGTTGGCCAGGCTGGTCTCAAACTCCTGACCTCAGGTGATCCACCCGCTTCAGCCTCCCAAAGTGCTGGGATTACAGGCGTGAGCCACCATGCCCAGCCATGAGACACTGTTT